TTCATAGGGCACAACTGTTTTTGTTTCCCTGTAGACTGACTACCCATGAGTGTGGGTGGGGAGTGACGGGCTGGAGGGGGTCGTGAGAGAGTAGTAGTAAATTCCAGAAGGAATTCTTGACCTCTTGGGGTAGGGTCAGAGCATGCTAAGGCAGTGTGATGGTTTGAATAAAAATGGCTTCCACAGTCCATAGAGAGTGGCACTATTAGGAGGTGTAGCCTTGTAGTGGGTGTGGCCTTCATGGAGGAAGTGTGCCTCTGGAGGATGGGTTTTTGAAGTTTCAGAAGCTCAAGCCAGGTCTGGTGGCTCACAGTCACTATCTGCTACCTGTGGATGCAGATGTAGAACCCTCAGCTCCTTCTCTGGCACCATGTCTGCCTGCATGCTACCACGCTTCTCACCATGACAGTAATGGATTAAACCTAGGGTTTTATTGCTGTGAAGAGACACCATGACCTTGACAATTCTTATAAAGAAAAGCATTTAATTGAGGCTGGCTTACAGTTCAGAAGTTTAATCCATTATTGTCATGACGGCAGGAAGCGTGGCGTCGCGCAGGCAGACTTGGTGCTGGAGAAGCCAAGAGGTCTACATCTTGACCTGAGGCAGCCAGGAGACTGTCTTCTGCAGGTGGCGTGGAGGAAACTCTGATTCCACACTGGGTGGAGCTTAAGCATAGGAAAACTCAAAGCCCACACACTCGCAGGGACACACTTCCTCCAACAAGGCCACACCCATTCCAAATGGGGCCACCCCTTCTAATTAGTCCTACTCCCTGGAGACCAAGCATTCCAACACATGACTCTATGGGGGCCAAACCTATTCAAACCACCGCAGAGACCCACCAGTGGATTAAGGTCTTTTGTGAACTACTAGCCGATGGCTGGCTAAGATACAGTGCCCCACAGAAGACAGATTTTCTTGGAGGACACATTCATAGACATCATCCCCACTGGAATCAGGGATGATGAACCCCAAGGGTCTTCTTCCCCTGGTCTGGCTCAAGGGTGTGATGCTGGCAACTAGCCCTTCTAAAGGATGTTAGGTGGGTGGACTTCTCATTGTAGAACTGAGGTGGCTCCTCTCTTTAAGCCCTCTGACAGCCTCTGAGGGCCAGACCTTACCTCCAAAACAAAGGGCAGGCAGGGCCTCCAGACCTGCCAGTTATCTGAGGGAGGGATCAGAGGTACCCAGAAATCCTCCTCCTCTTTGCGAGCCATGGCCCCTGGCTGTGGGGATGCAGCCAGTGTGGTATGGAAGACTGAGTGGGGTCCCAACTCTAGTAACCAACAAGACACTTGCCCCAGTGAGGCAGAGGGGGCTGTGTCAAGGAAGGGCTGTGGTGTCTGAGGGAAGGTGGAGTTTGTAGGACTAGGGGGGGGGAGCTTATGGAAGACCAAAGACATTTCCTGGATGCATAAAGAGGCTTCCATAGTGTTCAAAAATGAATCTGGCACTGACTGGAAAGAAGTGAAATTTATAGACATATCATTATAGTCCATTCTTTAATGACACACAGTCTGGGACAGGGGGTGGCTCAGTGCTTGCCAGGCAAGCAATAAGGCCCCAGAATGCATGTAAGGATGCAGGTGTGGGGCTGGGCATGGTGGCACATGTCTTTAATCCCAGCACTCTGGAGGCAGAGGCAGACAGACCTTTGTGAGTTTGAGGTCAGGCTAGGCTATACAGAGAGTCTCAGGACAGTCAGGGCTATGTAGTAGAAATTTTGACTCAGAAAGCAAACCAAAACTATACACACACACACACACACACACCACTCTCCCTACACTTTTAAACAATTAGAACATATATGTTATGTTCTGCTTCTGCGAACAGAGCCTAAGGCTGCTGGCAAGCAGCCATTTGAATCTTCCTTTGGAACAACAGGAAGAATTAGGCAGAATTAGCATAGTAATTGGCTACAGGTAAAAGACAGAGCCAGGAGTGTGAAAACCACTTGTTTTCCTAAGCGGATGATGAAGTATCCCAGACCCATCTCTCACCTCAGTCAGCACACTTCTTGCTGGCCCCTGGCCCAGTCGCTGTACCTGCGGAGTCTCCTCCAGCAGGAGCTTCAGGCTGTACTTAATAAGCGCCATGTTCTCAAGGCTGAGTTCTGTTCTTGCCCAGCACTGTCTTAAATCACAGACAGCTTATGTCATCGGCAGCAAACGCACCTATCTGAGGCTCCTTGTACTTGAATTTTTAGAAAATTTTAAATCATCGTTGTGTCTTTTAAGGGGAAAGCCTTTCTGTCTGGAGGGAGGGAGTGCTGTTCAATGCTGAGACACTGAGCAAGGGCTTCTGGAGAACTGGCTTACAAGCCTTCTCAAAGGTTCAAGGAGCCATCCTCCCATTGTTCCAGGTAAAGTCTTCTGTGGAGCCTCAATGTGCACCAGCCTTTAACTGTCTAGACCATTTGAAGTGACCCAAAGACTGCAGGGAGAGCCACTGAGGAATAACTAAGGCTAGAAGTTCTGTTAAGTAGAAATCTCCAGGTTCCTGCTCCTCTTAGTCTCTTAGGGTGCAGGCTGAGGGCGAAGATGACCATTTCCCAGCCTTCACTGTCCCAAAGCCAGAACAAAGGGATTCCTGGAATGGAGCAGGGGCAAAGGGAGGAGAAGAGCACCATACAGAGGATCCTGTGAGTACCCTGGTGATCAGGGTCAGTTCCCCAGTTCCCCAGCCCCCCAACACCCTCACCTCTGCCAGGGTGCTAACAGCTGCTCCAAGGGCAGCCGCCACCTGAGGGACTTGTTGGACTCTAAGATCCAAACGAGGGGACGCACTCCTGAAGAAACACTCATGGACAGAGGATTTGCTGCAAAAGCATGAGGTTTATTGATAATAACCAGTGCGCACTGGGGTTCCCTCACACACAGGCAAGAGGAGGAACCCTGAGCCAAAGCTAAGAGCAGTCTTTATACCATTTCCACAGAGTTTACGAGGGCAGTTCTACAATCATCTCTTTAAACAATAACCACAAAGGTTGACATCAACTGCCATTCCCAAGCCTGGTTTCTAGGTAACTCAGATTATCACATTATCTTTTTTTTTTTTTTTTTTTGGTTTTTCGAGACAGGGTTTCTCTGTGTAGCCCTGGCTGTCCTGGAACGCACTCTGTAGACCAGGCTAGCCTCGAACTCTCGAACTCAGAAATCCGCCTGCCTCTGCCTCCTAAGTGCTGGGATTAAAGGCGTGCGCCACCACCGCCCGGCCACATTATCTTTATAACAGTGAGTGTTAGCTAAGAGGCTTCTGTTTCCCCAGGTGTATTACGTTAAGGGCCCAGCTTCCTGATTACCTCTTATCTTGGGCCCTTCCTCTGAAATGTGTTAGTCGTTGGAATGTGCTTCTCCCAGGATGTGTCCTGGGACAGTTAATTTTTGAGTTTACCAAAACCTGAGATTTTTGAGACCTGAAATTCCTACAGACTCAGGCGGTACAAGGTCAGAGTAGGATCAACCGTTCCAGGTGGCTCAGAAAGGGTGCCATGATGGGTAAGGAAGGCATTCTTGTCAGAATGACCTAAGACAGGCTCAGTCTTGTTAATGAAATAAGAAAGGGGGAGATGTAGAGAGCCTTTGGGGCTGCTTGGCAGGAATTTCACATTGGCCAAGGACAAGGAAGTAGGCTTCAGAGAGGAATCTGACATTAGGCTAGAACAAAGAAGTAATTTCAGGTAGGAATCTAAATCTTAGGCTAGAACAAGGTAGTAGGCTTCAGACATGAAAATGACCTTGGACTAGGACAGGGAAGTAGGCTCAGATATCTTGATAAGCCCTTAGAAACAGTGATCAGGGGAGTGTTCATATACTTAGGTTTAATGCCTTGCTTTTTCTTTGACTAGTTGTGTTTATTGTCTTGCTTGTTCCTTGACTATTTGCATCTATTGTATTGCTAGACCCTCAACCTAGAACTGACCTTAATACATGCATGTAATTAAAATGGTATAAAAGCAAAAAGGAGGAGGGGGGATGGGGTGGGGGTCTTAGGGAGGGGGAATGGGGAAAGGGGATGATATCTGTATTGTAAATAAATAAAATATCCAATAAAAAAAATTCCTGCTTAAAAAAAAAAAGAAAAGAAAAAAGAAAAGAAAGGAAAAGAAAAGAAAAGAAAGGGTGTCCCGGATGCAGGGCTTGAAGTACTAAGACTGGAACAAGTACTCAGCCTCCATGGGGCAGAGAAAGAACAGAAGGTAAGCTTGCCTCTGGGTTTGCTCCATAAATCCTGGTTCTTAGGTCTTACTGGGTTGGGGCCCCAGGCAGAATAGAGGCTTTAAAAAGGCTAGAGTTTTGTGGCCTCTGTACCGTGCTTCAGACACACGATTCAGAGTCCTTCCTTCCTTCCTTCCTTCCTTCCTTCCTTCCTTCCTTCCTTCCTTCCTCCCTCCCTCCCTCCCTCCCTCCCTCCCTCCCTCCCTCCCTCTCTTCCTTCCTTCCTTCCTTCCTTCCTCCTTTCCTTCCTTCTTTTTTTCCTCTCCCTCCCTTCCTTCCCTCCCTCCCTCTTCCTCTTCCTCCGATGTTTGGACTTTGTAGGGGTAGGTCCCTGTAGTGGCTATTCCTGATTGTCAACTTGACTTTATCTGGGATGAACTAAAACCCAGAATTGGAAAGCTCACCAGTAATCCTGATCTTGTGGCTGGGAGATACAAGTTTCTGACCTGGATCTTGCATGGAGATCTTGAGGCATAGTGGCTACGAATCCCAGGCAAGGAGATCTCTGAATTCAAGGTCAGCCTGGGACAAAACAAGTCCCAGATCCAGGCGTGGCGGCACACACCTTTAATCTGGGCCACACCCTCTGCTGGAGACCTATATAAGGACGTTGGAAGAAGGAAGATTCTATCTGCTTTGCTTGCTTGCCTTGTAGGACTGAGGAACTGCTAGATCCTTGGACTTCTACTCACAACTGCCTATTAGTTGAACTACAGACTAAGCAGAGTTACTGTGATCAGCGAAACTCTGTGAGGACTAAGAGAACAGCTTTGTTTGTTGGTTGAACGGGAAGCAAAGATGTCAGAACGGAAAGTTTTAAACAAATACTACCCACCTGACTTTGACTCATCGAAGATCCCAAAACTTAAGCTACCCAACGACCGGCAATATGTGGTCCGGCTGATGGCCCCCTTCAACATGAGGTGTAAGACATGTGGAGAATACATCTACAAGGGGAAGAAGTTCAATGCACGGAAGGAAACAGTTCAGAACGAGACATACCTGGGCCTGCGAATCTTCCGATTCTACATCAAGTGCACGCGCTGCTTGGCTGAGATCACCTTCAAGACAGACCCAGAGAACACAGACTACACCATGGAGCACGGGGCCACGCGCAACTTCCAGGCTGAGAAGCTTCTGAAGGAGGAGGAGAAGCGCCTGCAGAAGGAGCGAGAGGACGAAGAACTGAACAACCCCATTAAGGTTCTAGAGAACCGTACAAAGATCTCTAAGCTAGAGATGGAAGTGTTGGAAAACCTGCAAGAACTAAAAGACCTGAACGAGCGGCAGGCACACGTGGACTTCGAGGCCATGTTGCTGCAACACCGCCTGTCTCAGGAACAGTGGCAACAGCAGCAGGAGGAGGAGGACAAGCGTGAGACCGCGGCCTTGCTGGAGGAGGCTTGCCATCGAAGGCTTCCAGAGTCCTCTGACTCAGAGGATGAGGCTCCACCTTCCCGACCACAGGCAGCTGCAAGACCCAACCCCACAGCCATCCTCGACAAGGTACCAAAGACCAAGAGGAAGGCAGAGGCCCTGTGCAGCAAATCACAGTTGGCAGGCTTGGTTGTACCAAAGAAGATGAAGACAAAGGCCAACGGGGGCTCAGAGCAGGTCCGGGGGTCTGAGAGCAGGAAGGTGGCCAACCCTACACCCCAGACACCTGATACTTCCTCCCTGAGCCAGCTGGGTGCATATGGGGACATTGAGGACAGTGACAGCTGAGCAACAGTGATGCCCACTGTGTCATCATAGATCCAAGAAATGAGATGGGATCAAGCAAACACCTTCAGCAAAGGCCTTGGGACCATTTCTGCCATGGGTCCTGGCAGGGTGTAGAGAAGCGATGTCCCCAGGCACCCAGGACAGACAGACTGGTCCACTCCTTCAGTCCTTGACTTGTATGGAGCCTGTTGGCCTGTCCCTTCCTGCCACAGATCTGAACACTGTCTGACATGGGACAGGGAGCAGGGACCCTGGACATCATCTCCCAACCATACTCAAGGCCTAAGGCTTCACCCCCATGCAACACAGTAGTACTGTAAAAATCAAGAAAGAATAGAAAAATCAATTGAAAAACAAAAAACAAAGAAGTAGTTACCCATTGTGATGGTTTGCATATGCTTGGCCCAGTGACACTATTAGCAGGTTTAGCTTGTTGGAGCGTGTGAGTGTGGGCTTAAGACCCTCACCCTAGCTGCCTGGAAGTCAGTCTTCCTCTAGAAGCCTTCAGATGAAGATGTAAGAACTCTTAGCTCTGCCTGCACCATGCCTGCCTGGACACCCCCATGCTCCCACCTTGATGATTCTATGAGGGATTAGAGTTAACAGATTGCATAAATCTCAGAAGAGACTTTGAACCTTGGACTTTTAACATTGCTGAGACTGTTACAGACTATGGGAGTTTTGAAGTTGGTCTAAATATATCCTGCTTTATGGTATGGCCCCCATAGACTCGTGTTTGAACAAACCTCAGGGGGCCAGGGAGTGGAATGTGGTGGTTTGAATATGTTTGGCTCAGGAAGTGGCACTATTAGGAGGTGTGGCCTTATTGGAGAAAGTATGTCACTGTGGTAGTGGGCTTTGAGACCCTCTTCCTAGCTGCTTGAGAATAGTCTGTTCCTGGTTTCCTTTGGATGAAGAGGTAGAACTCTCAGCTCCTCCTGCACCATGCCTGTTGGGACGCTGACCTGCTCCCACCTTCATGATGATGGACTGAACCTCTGACCCTATAAAATAACCCCAAATAAATGTCCTTTATAAGACTTGCCTTGGTCATGGTGTCTGTTCACAGCAGTAAAACCCTAACTAAGATAGTCCCTCCCCCCCCAAAAAAAAAAAAAAACACTACAAACAGAAAAAACAAGCCATGGTCTCACACTGTAGCTGTAGTTGGTGTAAAACTCACTACAGCGTAGGTTGTTGTTGAACTTACTGCAATCCTCTTGCCTCAGCCTCCTGGGTGCTGGGATAATCGATATAAGTCAGTCCTAGCTTACCTATTTTCTCTTTGGCAAGTTTTCAACCTTTCCTGACTGTACCATGGTGGAATGAGATCTGGTGGCCCAGTGGCTTCCTGAGCCTCTGACTTACCTTCGAGCCTCAGACTCACACATAGATGTTTGTGTCAAGGAACCCCTACATACTTTCCAGTAACCCCTACATGCTTTCCAAGGGCCAGGGCTGGGAGAGTCTCTGTCTCCAGTTTCCTTCCTCTCCAGGAATGTCCATATTCAGGTGCCCTCGCCTTTCTCTTGCCTCCTGCAATGTCAGAGTACCTCTGAGCCATCTCTCTCTCTTTTTTTTTTTTTTTTAGTCTGCCACTTCATTTATTGTTTTTATTTGCAGGAGGAGTTGAAACAAAAATTTAAGGGTGTTTTTTTTTCTCCCCTAAACATGAATCATTCAAGTAAACCCAACTTAACTATTGAAATTAGCAAAGTAAAGGAAAGTGTGCACAACCCAAGAGCAAAGGCTGAGGGAGGAGGGTGCAGTTGGCATCCGACAGGTCCACGGATGCAGTGGTTCACCTGCTGGGGACCGCCGCCCTGGAAGGCAAGCACAAGGACCCTTTAATGAGGATGATCCAACATCTGAAAATGTTTCAACTCAAAACATAAGGTTAAAAAAGAGAAAAGGATAAACCCAAAACCACACAACCCCACAGACCACCCAGCCATAACCACCGTCTTTAACCATAGGTGTTTCTTTTCATTTTATAAAAAGATTAATAAAAAATATTGAAAAGATTATTTTCTCATCTTATATTTGTAAAGATAATAGAATTCAGAAGTTTCTTAGAAAACCATCCAGAAACTGCCCTCCAGTTTCCACTCCTTTTGCTGAAGACCAGCAGGACTACAAAGTTTGGGATACTGGAGCTGCTGGTGGAGAATGGGAAGCCCAGCCCAGGAGAAATCAGACAAGAGCAGGGTGCATGGGGAGGCTGGAAGCAACTCCATGTGATACATGGCTGTGTAGAAAGGGGAACACGAGGTGGTCAGAAAGGCCGTAAACTCCTCCTTAACATACAAAACCAGTTTGTACAAAGATCCAAGCAGTTTGGTCCCAAACTGAGGTGAACACTTCAATTTTTATTCACATGCTTTGTTTTCTCGTGAGAATCAAAGTTGCCCAAATTAAAATCTTTATGCTAATATTACTACATATCCCTTAAAAAGGAAAGAAAAGAAAAGAAAAGGAAAGAAAAGAAAAATATAAGGATTTTTTAATTAAAACTCAGGACAGGAAGAGACTGATTGAAAATCATTGTTGCTGTTGTTACCAGAATGGTTTCCTCTGCCCCAACCTCTCCCTCTTGCTCAGAACTGAAAGGTTCCCCGAGCTCTGCCACCTCTTTCATTTGGACCCATGAAGTCTTTGGTCCCCAATCTGGATTTGTCAAAACCTGTGGCACTCTCCTCCCTCTCCTCTGCTTCCTCAGGGTGCTCCTCTGCTTTGTAGTGAGGTGACTGGGAAGAGGAGGAGGAGGACCTAGACCGGTCTCTTGCTCTGCGGGGCTTCTTCTGCTTCTCTGATCCTTTGTGGGGTTTCTCTGTCTTTTCAGTTGATCTTTCTCTTGAGTGGCTAGAGTCTCTGGAGTCCACCGACTCTCGATTTACCTCGCTTTAAGATCTCACTCCTTATGTTTTTTACGATGTTCAGTATCAAGACGAAGATCAACTGGATCATCTTTGTATTTCCCTTCAGCCTTGTAGCCAGGTTCTCGTGGACTTTTCAATTCCTCATGAGTCAAACTATGCTTTCTGAATGTACTGGGGGAAATGTCTATTCTCCTGTGTATCTCTGGGCTTTTCTTATTTTTAGCTGCTTCTTGTTCATTTCCTCTTTTTAGGTATTTAGTAAAGTGTTCATGCAATGTCATTCCAGAGGATCCAAAGTGATTCTCTTTAGCGTGATGAACAATGATCACTCTGTGCTGGGCAAACAGTTCTGACGGGCTACGCTGAGACTGCGCTGGCTGTGTGTGCTGGAATTGAGCGGAATTCCTGTTCCTTTTTGTTGCTATGGACTAGATCCCAACAAAGCTTTCGTTCCTGAGCCAGTAAGCCACTGGGTCGTGCAAGGTCCTCATCGAAGAGTCCATCTGGACATTGACCTGGGCCTCCCGAGTAATGGAAAAGGAAGACTTCCCTGAGGAAAAGTCTCCTTTGTTTCCCAGCTTGTCACGGCTCACCTCTGAGCCATCTTAAGTAAGCGTCTTGAGAAGACTGGCCTGACCCACCTACCCAGCAGGGTGATTATCCTTACCCTAGTTTCTCGTGTATGCTTCTAGGAATTTAATACACACCTATATATAAATATACTTTTAAAATTTCCTCTGGCTTTTGAAAATAGAACACTAGAGTAGTACATTTTTCTTTTTATTAATAATGTTTCACTTTTAAAAGATAGTGTTATAAAATGTCATACCTGATATTTGTAATTGGGCAACTCTTGCTATTTGGAACCATGCTGTAATAGGTGTTTCTGAACTGAGAAGGCTAGGCTGATTCTATGGCAGGCTTCAGATTGGCAGTTAAGAAGAGTTAAGTTCTGTTTCCAAGAACCGAAGTCCAGGCCTCAGACGCTGCCCTGCCACCAGGCCTGAGGCAACAACAATGGGTCAGCAGCAGATCCCAGACTTCCTCAGCTACTTCCTCAGTGAGAGTTCCCAGACCTCCCCAGCAAGCTTCTAGCCCATATATCCTGGTAATGGAATGTCCGTAGAGATGAACCCAACAGATTAACATAGAGGTCACCTACCCTAGAATTCCCTAATGTGCTTTAAGTCAGGCCTGTGAGCTCACCTGGGTGTCTCTCTATCTTGGTAGGTAATAGGGAGTCCCCAGCGTGCTGAACTTCTGCAGAATAAAGCATTCTTTGCATTTACATATATTTGAGTCTGGGGTGTCATTCTTCGGTGGATCATGGACCCTTACAAACACGTGCAATTTGGAAGGAGGAGGACCCAGTTACTGGGCCAAACGGTAACTCTGCTCATAACTTAATTAGATTTTTACTTTTTTTTTTTTTTGGTGCTTTCTTCAATTTTACCAATTTGTCAGTGACTAGAATCACCCTCTCAAGGACAGACAGGAAGCAAAGGAGGAAGGATGGAGTCCTACTTCCTCCCCTGCCTCCTGTCTCACAGCCTGTGTGGTCACCCCTAACTGGGAGAGCACAACAGAAGCGAGTGGCAAAGCTTAGGTTTGTCTAGAAGGGTCCAAATCAGAAGAGGAGGGTGGGCTGGAGTGAGAGTCAATCACTTAATAATTGGCCTGATAATGCACTTGAGTGTGTCATTAAACATTTGGAGTTTGGCTAGCTGGACAGTTGACATCTGAGAAACAAACAGCATCTTAGTGGGGGTTTGTCATGCATTCTTCAGATTGTGAAAGGAGGCCGGCCATTTTTTTATGTTTAGGCGACATTTCTATATATATTCTGCAAACTTGTTTGGGTTATTTTTTTCCCCTATGGTTGTTTGTATCTTTTCCAGAAATATCTTAATGAAAATAAGTGCGCACACACACACACATATACACACACACACACACACACGAAAAAGAAAAAGAAAAGAAAAAAGAAAAGAAAGAAGAAAAAGAGAGAAAAAAGAAAAATGAAACAAAACCACAATAAAAACACTCAAGGGGCCAACAAACCCAATCTAAACATTTCAAATAGCAAATGCAAAAGTACCCTAAGGTACATAAAAATTAAACAAAAGAAGTGTGAAGTGGCTGACAGGTTATACTTCCACCTCTGAGATACTCATGTTAAAAGATGGAGAGGCTGGGGAGATGGGTCAGGAGGCAAAAGCATTTGCTGGACAACTTCCATGCCCATTTCACAGGTGGGAAGACCTGAGGTGTCAGTGACTTACCTGGGTTATCTGAATATTGAGTTTTACCTTAGTCTTTTTGCCATACGGTTGTTGATCTTAAATGCAGTTTTTTTTCCCTTGAATACCTCTCTTCATTGTATATTGTTTTCTCATTTACCAACCTAAGATACCAGTGTCCCTACATTACAATATATTCTCTTATAACATGTGATGACTTGCCAGT